TTAACCCACTGAGCCACCCAGGCGCCCCCCTTCTTCACTTCTTGATTGGATGATGAACACTGAAATAGTATATTGTTTATAGTCTGGGTTTTGATGTCCTGCTTTTAAAAATGTTGAGTTTTATCCAGAGGACATGAAATTAAAAGTTTATCAGCCAAACCTTTGGAAGCTTATTTTTAAGTTTTGTTAGAATGGATCTAGCAGTGGTATCCAATAGGAGTTTCTAGTGACATTTAGCTACTAAACACTTGAAATATATCTAGTGCAGTGGATGAGCTGAAGTTTTAATTTATTTTAAGTAATTTAAAATGTGTGGATAGGGGCGCCTGGGTGGCTCAGTGGGTTGAAGCCTCTGCCTTCAGCTCGGGTCATGATCCCAGGGTCCTGGGATCGAGCCCCACATCGGGCTCTCTGCTGAGCGGGGAGCCTGCTTCCCCCTCTCTCTCTCTCTCTGCCTACTTGTGATCTCCGTCTGTCAAATAAATAAATAAAATCTTTAAAATAAATAAATAAATAAAATAAAATGTGTGGATAGTGGCTATTGTATTGGACAACACATGTCTAGAGTTACCTCTACTCTCCACTTTACTCCTAAAGAGTGATCTTTCTGAGTGTCTGAATACCTGTGTGTTCAGTGTGTTCAGTGAGGCATCTCTGGCTGATTAGAACTTGAATGTCTTTTATTTTCATGCATGTTCCAACAGTTATTCAGTTTATAGCTCCTAACTAGTTATTCCTGGCCCTGTAGCATCTCTCCCTACCCTCATACTCAGTGGGACACTTAAGTAGGTCCCCTATGCAGATTTCTAGAACTTTTTTCCTCTGTACTGTGGTATTCTACCCCACAAACTCTGACTTCCTCGGCCTCTGTAACCAACGTCTCCATCTCTTTAGCACAACTTTTGCTTGGGTTCTCCCACCCTATGCAGCAGCCCATAATATGTCTGCAGGCAGAAAGCTGAAGCAATACAGGGCTTATCTCATTTGTTTCCCTTCTCTCAGGAATCACAGTACTGTACTACCTATTGTTTAATATCTGGTAAGTTGATAGTTGTTTATGGCAGAAAGACTAATGTGGTACTAGTTACTCTATCTTGTTCTCAAGTCAGCAGACGATGTTTTACTAACACCTCTATCCTCAGTCAAGTGGTAATGATTGCTGCCTTTGTCGAGGGCTGTGGCACTTTAAAACATTGAAGATTTTTCAGTTTAGCAAAATCATGAACTTTGTCTATTTATTCTTCATAAGAATAACCATTGATATAGGGATTCTGCTATTTACAAAGTTTTCACAACAGTTGTTCAATTTCACAAAATAGTGAGTTAAAATTTTAATTACTTAAACAGTTTAAGTATTGAAGAAACTTTATTTCTACTCTGAAGTAAAAAAAAAAAGGATGGATATAAATTTGGTATGTTTATTTTTTAATGAAATGATAAATAATCCACCCGTTTATCGACTATCTAAAGTCCACTACAGAAAAATTCACCTGTACCCTCTTCTACTATCTTATCAGTGTTCTGCTGAGCCAGTCCTTACAACTTCCCCAGTCCTTCCCCAGTCCTTACAACAGTCCTTACAACAGCCCATGGAAGAAGACAGCATTGTTATCTCCATTTTACACAAGGAAACTGAGACACAGAGAAGTTCAGCAACACTGACAGGGTCACGGAGATAGGACATGCCCCAACTGGGATTTGTATGCAGGTGGTCCTATTTCAGAGCCCATGGTCTTAACCACAAACTTTCATAAGACCTAACAATATGAAGAGTATACATATGAGTATTTGAGGTGTAAATATTTATACATACACAGTCATTTTATTTCCATTTTTCAGATAAAGAAATGGAGACTGAGTCTCAATGTGGTTTTGATTTGAATTTCCCTGATGGCTAATGATGATGAATACTTTTTCATGTGTCTGTTAACCATTTGTATGTCTTCTTTGGAGAAGTGTCTGCTCATGTCTTCTGCCCATTTTTTGACTTGATTATCTGTTTTTTGGGTGTTGAGTTTGAGAAGTTCTTTATAGATCTTGGATATCAGACAAAACACCATAGTTGTATTTACATTTAAGCCAGCTTTCCTCCAGTAATAGTTACTATTTTGGTTGACCATGCACTTTGTTTTTTCTTTAAACTTTTCTTCTGTGTCAGTAGACCACCAAGGATCCAGGTTCCCATTTTTATCATACTTTCTACCTAGGAAAAAGGAAAGTTAAAAGATATTTGTACCACCTGTGTTCTCTTCTAGGATTTTTATAGTTTTAGGTCTCACATTTAGGTCTTTCATCCATTTTCAATTTCTTTCTGTGTGTGGCATAAGAAAGTAGTCCAGTTTCATTCTTTTGCATGTTGCTGTTTCCCAGGTTTCCCAGCAGCATTTATTGAAAAGAGTTATTTCCCACTGGATATTCTTTCCTGCTTTGTCAAAGATTAATTGACCAGCTATTTGTGGGATCATTTCTGAGTTTTCTATTCTATTCCGTTGACCTATGTATCTATTTTAGTGCCAGACCCATACCATCTTGACGACTAAAGCTTTGTAATGAAAAAAGAAACTGAAACTGAAAAACACTTAAGTGACCTTCTTGGTGTCACAGTAAAAGATGGTTTGGCATGGAAATTATGTCTGTTTGAGTCAAAGACCTATGTAGATGGTCATCATTGTTGTTGTTTTTTAATGAAAATGTGTAATATTGGAAATAACAATAGGGGTGTTCATTAAGCAAATCATGGTACAATGCCAAGTCATAAAACCATCTTTTTTTTATGTTGAAGAATATTGTCAGGGAAAAAAGCAGTACATAAAAGGATATTTGTTTTAAACATAAACATTTATATGAAGACCTACTTGCTTGCTCTTGGTTTATCTCTACACATTGAAATAAACATACTGTTTTTATTGATGAACATACTTAGACTTAAGGTATTCTTCAAGAAAATGTAAGGAAAAATTCTTATTTTATGGTAATTCCTACTGTAAAATAGGCTTTGTTACACAAGTCCACAGATTCCTATTTTTTTCCACCTAACTACTTTCATTTTATCTATTCCAAATATTTACAAAACTAGATTTCCTTTCATACATGATTTATGTTGTTTAATTTTCCTGGAGGCTGTTAGGAGGGGTCTGGTAACAATTAGTTTTAAAAAAAGAAAGTCAAAAAGGAAATCCTTTTCTAGGAAAAATTATAATCTCCATGTTTCTCAACTTTGAAATTTTTAATGTCTTCATATGTTAAAATAATTAACATATTCACAGTGGGTTTATTTGCCTAAATGGTTATTGTAAGAAGGAAATTTGGCAGAGTGATGGTGAGTAAAGAGAAATTGTGTGGAGACAGAACAAAAGAAGCAACAGCTTTCTGTCCTCAATTGTCTTTGATGCAGAAGCTAGAGGCTTACACCAGCTGTAAGACTGCAACAGTAGAGCTGAGGTAAATAAAGCAGCGTGGGCAGCTTCAGGCGATGTGAAGTGACTGATCTTACACCAAAACCAAACAAGCTGCAGACCCAACTTCTCAGTTGTGTTTTGCTACCTGTGGTGGGTTACTTAGTGTAAGTTCAACCCTGTCCCATAGCTTTCATTCTTCTCAAGAGCTTCCATGAAGACACAGCAGGTCATAGAAGGTATTAAAGAGTATGGAGATAAGAAAATTTATTTTTTCTAAATTCCGCTATTTCCAGTATAACATTGAGAGAGACTTCCTTTGTGATAGATGGTCACTTCTCCTGAGAATTCTACAGGGTGCATAAAAGCCTCACTATTCTAACTCTCCTTGCACCTAAGAGCTGCCCCTAAACTCAGTTACTGTGGTTATTGAACTACTTATGGGGAATTGGTCTGTGTTGTAGAAATTACATGAATATTTATATTCTTTCCCAAACATGTTTGCTTTGAAGGAGGAGTTTCATTAGATGGCCCCTTTGTACCTAAAACTAATTCTATAACACTATACCCCCCCCAGTAGAAACCATTGTTTCCAATGTGATTTTAATTATCAGTGTTTACCTTTTTAAAGGACTATTACTACTTGAAATTCACTTTAGAAACAGAAAGGTGGCATCATACATTTAGATACCCAGATGTTGCTTTTAAGTGTTGAATAAAATGTTGAAATTAAAACACATAACTTGGAAGAAACTGTTTTTGTCGGTGTTGTCAGATATTAGTTACATTAACATTTGTTTTTTTTCATATTATAAATGATATATGTTAAGGAAAATTTTTAAAATACAGGTAAGCAAAAAGAAAATTTAAAAATACTACCAATTCAAAAGTAATTGTTAAGACAAAGGGAAAAAGGAATCAATAAAGATAAAGGTGTAATGACTTATTTCATCTGTTTTTAAGATGCACATCTTTTCAAATTTTAACATCTCTGAAATGAGGGTATGTGGAGTTTGCCCTTTTTTAGTGGTACGTGTTAACAGTGATGCTTCTTTTTTTTGGTAGTATTTATTTATTTGATGGTGGGGGTGGGGAGAGAGAAAAAGAGAGTGCATGCACAGATGCTTCTTAAATCTTAAATTCAATGTTTCCTTTGTATTCAATGAAATACAGTAATTTGGGTTATAGATCCTTATGGGTAGAATAGCAAGTTTGAGGGACAGAACCTGGGTGCCCCACAGGACAAGTTTAAAAAAGCTGAGGGGTGCCTGGGGGCTCAGTAGGTTAAGCATCTGCCTTCGGCTCAGGCCAAGATCCTGGGGGCCTGGAATCAAGCCCCACATCCAATTCCCTGCTCGTGGGAAACCTGCTTTTCCGTCTCCTTTTGCCACTCCCACTTGTGTTCTCTCCCTCTGTCAAATAAGTATTAATAAAATAAAATATTAATAAAAAATTATAAAATGTGTCCTGTGCATATCTATATATTATTTAAATGCAAAGTATCATGTATATGTATATATTTATTAGCTATTTTATAAAACCTATAGTTTGTGTTTTCTTCTAACTAGAAATTTAATAATTTCTTCCATTTATATATACATGCAGGAAATACTAAAGAATGAAAAACATAGAGAAGAAATTAAAATGAAAAATCAAGATCTTTATGAAAAAGAAAAACTCCTTAGCAAAGGGAGCAATGAAGAACTTTTATCTCCACCAGTTCAAACTCAGATCAAAGGGCATGCCTCTGCTCCCTACTTTGGAAAGGAAGAACCCACCACGGCTCCCACCAGCACTGGTAAAACCTTTCAGCCAGGATCCTGGATGCCACAACGGGGCAAGAACCCCAATCAATGAATATACTGTGGTAGTATTTCATTTGTATGTAACTTTTTTAACAATAAAATAAGTAAAAATTACTTTATTTTCTGACTGTACAGTAAGTAGTTCTCTAATCCATTAAGCTTAAGAATTCATTTTTAGTATGCATAAGAAATGTGAGATTATGAACTATAGAAACCTTTTTTGTTTAAAGTAATCTAGGGGCACCTGGGTGGCTTAGTTGGTTAAGCGTCTGCCTTCGACTTGAGTCATGATCTCAGAGTCCCAGCATCTAGCCCCATGTCGGGCTCCCTGCTAGGCGCTAGGCGCTAAATCTGCTTTTCCCTCTCCTCCTGCCCCTCCCCCTGCTCTTTACTCCTCCTTCTTGCTCACTCTCAAATAAATAAAAGATTTTTAAGTAATCTTACACCCAATGTGGGGCTCAGACTTACAATCCTGAGATCAAGAGTCACATGCTCTACCAACTGAGCCAGCCAGGCACTCCGAAACCTAACTTCTTTTATGTTTAACTTTTTTTTTTCCTTTAAAAATTTTATTTATTTATTTGACAGACAGAGACCACAAGTAGGCAGAGAGAGAGGGGGAAGCAGGCTCCCCGCTAAGCAGAGAACCCGATGCTGGGCTCCATCCCAGCACCCTGGGATCATGACCTGAGCCGAAGGCAGAGGCTCAACCCACTGAGCCACCCAGGCACCCCTATGTTTAATTTCTTTATTTGCTTTAGTCATCATTCTGTTTATCAGTTTGCTTAGGTTTCCTCTCTTAGGATTGCTCCTTTGTGAAGTATCCTGTAGTTGTAAATGCTCAGTATATTTTGGATCTTTATGATCATTTCGGAACCCCAGTGTATATCATGATAGAAGGTAAGGCTAATTTGCGAGCTCTCCTAAAGTACCCGGTTAAAAAAAGAGAAAAATGAGAAGACTGCCATTTCTGGAGAGGCAGTCTGTAAGATTCTAAAGGATTAATCAAAAACATGAACTTGGATAAAACATGTGGAGGCCAAGAAAAGGTAGCTGATAATGGAAAGTCATGAAGATCTGGAGTTTGAAAAGAGGAATCAGGACCAAGAGACACAAAACTCTGAAAGGACAGTTAAGAGAGAAATGGTACAATAACTGGAGTTCCCTAAGTTTAAAAATTATTTTGAGAGGGGCTCCTGGGTGGCTCAGTCAGTTAAGTGTCCAACTCCTGATTTTGGCTCAGGTCATGATCTCAGGGTTGTGAGAGCAGAGCCTGCTTGGGATTCTAGCTCTGTCTCTCTCTCCCTCCTCACTATCCCCGCCACCCCCGCCCCACAGAAAAAGAAAAGAACAAAAAAAAATTCCTTTGAGAAAATGAAAAATAGAAGAGAGTACTCTGTGATTGCATGGACAGTGGGGATTCCAGTGGCTTATATATTGAAGAAAAACATAGATGGGTAATGTTAAAACACCCATTATTATACAAAAGTATTTTTGAAGGATCATATGTTTTCCGAAGTACACAACTAAGTTTTTATTGCTAAAATAGACTTCTCAGAATGTAAGGCATTATAATAGGTGCTCAATATATATTTACTGAATAAGTGATTCAAATTTTAATGCTCTATAGGAAATCCCTGGTTACGTTTTAACAGTGACTTCCTAAAAACACCGGTTAACATTTTTACTTAATAGAAGTAAAAATTTTTAATTAAGAAATAAATTAGAGAAAAATACTTTATAAAATGTAATATTAAAACAAATAATCAAATATAATTACCATAACACACTTACTGAATGACAGAAAAGCCCCTTGGTAAAAATACTACCATTCCAGCAATCTCTTAATATGAGGTTACCCATTCTATCATTACAAAATAATACTACATTTTGCCATACAGGCAAAAAGAACTAGCCACCAGGCAGTATAAAAAGAGGTACAAATAACTGTAAATTAAGATGTTCCTGAGTCCTGGGTTACAAGAAAAATTGCAAATGTTCTAACATGCTAGACTATTTCTACTGCCAAGTTGCTATTAGCTTATTAAATGTATTCTATACATACCTTTTTATAAATGTTCGCCTTACAGTATGTAAATATTTTAACATATGACAGAATTTTCATTTTTATGTTTTCATTGTAAAACACATTTTTTTTTTTTTTTAAAGAACAAACTGATGATTACCAGACAGGAAGTGGGAGGGAGGATGAGTGAAATAGGTGAAGGGGATTAAGGAAAGCACTTGTGATGAGCACTGGGTGATGTATGGAAGTGCTCAATCACCGAAGTGTACACCTGAAACTAATGTTATACTGTATGTTAACTAACTGGAATTTAAGTAAAAACCTAAAAAAAGTAAATACTAAATAGATGAGGCATTAAAAAAAAGTAAAATAAATTAAAATAACCTGTTTTATATAAGCAACAAAAGAAAATCTTAACCAAAAGTCCTTGTGGGAAAATACCCGAAGATTATGATACTGGCCCACCATTATTAGTAGAGCATGCACTTAAAAAAAAAAAAAAAAAAAAAAAAAGACTATTTTAAAATAATCTCCATGTCCAGTGTGGGGCTCAAACTTACAACCCCAAGATCAAGAGTCACACATTCTACTGACTGAACGAGCCAGATACCAATCCTAGAGCATGCAGTTTTAAAGTGATTTCAAGAACTGGAAATGACATTTATAGTAATCCATCCACACTCCTTTCCTCAAGACTAGTATTTTTTGGATGACTGGTGGCGCTGTTAGATGGTATCAAAACAGTTTAATGTCCTACATAAAAATTTAACTATAACTTTGGCCTAATTCAAATTACCCTTCTAAGCAATCTTTCTTATATTTGGCTTTTATGCCAGACACATGCAAAGCACAATTAAACTATTAAATAAAGTATTAGTTTGTCCACCATATGTTGTATTTTCAATAGTTATATTTTGGACATTTATAAGTTTTTTTTAATGAAAATGTCTTAAAATAAGTAAATGAAAATGTCTTGATTTCTTTAAGACAGATTTTAGACCTATGCAAAATTTTTTTAATTCCAAAAGTAAAAATGTTCATTTCAAAGTAATTAAAGTATCATATATACCTTAAGTACTTTCTCAGAGGTAAATTGTTCTTGATTTCCCATAACTGTGCTATGTGTGCATGTAGCAGACTTTTGACCATTCAAGTACAGAAAATGTGTTGGCTGTTGGTTCAATCATACAAATCTAGCCTATTAGCTATAACTTGGATATGTGATGTTGAAAATCAGTAAAAATGGAGGAAAAATAATTTTCCCATTATCTGTTACTCTTTTCCACTTCTACTTTTACAAACCGATTTCTGGCTGTCACTTATTTCATTTCTTAATTTAATCAGCCTTGAATCAGCCTTATATTTTTTATCTCATTAACCACACTATTTAAAATGTAACCTGATCTCACCAAACAAAAAATAAAACAGAAAAAAATAAAATAAAATCTAACCTAAATTTAAACAGAACAGGCTTTCTTAAACTGTGTTTGTGTTCCTTGGGGAAAAAAACAGAAGTGAGAAGAGTCTATAATAGTCAAATTAAGTTAAAAGATTCCAAGAAATCACATAGGAATAAACCCTAAGTTCTATTTTATATATCCCAAACTTGTGGTCTTTGAACATGCAACCTGTTTTAATATGTTTGAGAAATATACACACATGTACATGTATATAGTCCAGATATGAAGTAAATCCGAGTGATGCTATAACCAACTACAGACATAAAAACAATCATGAATAGTAATCAGACTTCCTCTCATGTAATACCAGATGAGCTGTAAGTGCCCCTTGCCCCTTTACATTCTGTATAAGGAGAGAACGAATAGGTCAGGAGCTGCTAATTATAATTTATCTCAACACTGGTTTCCAGCTCACAGCATGGTAAGCTTACTTCATTTGCTTACTCTAATTTCAAGAAATCAAAGCAAAAAATGGTACACTAAAAAGTATATCTCATACAGTGATACCATGCTGAAGTTTGTCACATGGATAGTATGAATCAAATTCTGACACACCAACTTTTTTTTCTTCTTTTTGAGTAAAATGTCTGTTACAAGCAGCCTGTGTTTTTTCCCAAAACCAGCCATAAAAAGGTAACTAATTATATTAGTTCTCAAAACTTCAAAAACAGCACAAAAGGCAATTTTTAAAAGAAGTATTACAGCTAATAGTAAAACATTCTTTCATCAATAGTACTATTTGTTGCAGTGAGAAAAGATTGATTTCTCTGAAGGATCCCAACCCTCATAATATTCTATTTTACATCCCCCCATTTCCCTCATACACATAAACATATAGACATCCATATTATAAAACCTAATGATTTCACATATATTAAAAAAGGCTCCATAAATGTTGGAAAAGCTAAAGCTAATAAACAAATGGCATATGTCAAATACAAAACTGGCACGTGTTAAGACTTTAAAGAAATTATAGAAGATTTCAGTTAAATATCTTTAAATTGTAACAAGAAAACCAATGAAAACACAGCTCTAGTAGATAACTAAAAATTATGGTGAATATATCTTTTGCTTCGATATTTGACTCTAAAATGTGGCCATAAGCAAGACTTATGTATATAAATTTCTTTAACGAACAGCTTAATTGCAGAAGCCCAAACACATTTTAGATATATCTTTTTTTTTTTTTTTAAAGATTTTATTTATTTATTTGACAGACAGAGACCACAAGTCGGCAGGGAGGCAGGCAGAGAGAGAGAGGAGGAAGCAGGCTCCCTGCTGAGCAGAGAGCCCTATGCAGCTCGATCCCAGGACTCTGGGATCATGACCTGAGCCGAAGGCAGAAGCTTTAATCCACTGAGCCACCCAGGCGCCCCCATTTTAGATATATCTTAACCTCGTTTTTCTTCAACTGTGCTCTGCAGACCCAGGAGGGCCAGTAGATCTACAGAAGCATATTTTTAATTTTAATTTCAATGGTAATTTCAACTATTAAAAGTTCAGTGACCAAAAAAAAAAAAAAAAAGAAAAGAATAGTTCAGTGACTAAAAAAGATCACTAGATATCCTACCTCGGTTAAGTAATGAAATGGAAGTTGCAGTATGTTCACTCTAATGGCACCACGTAAGAACTGACAACCTAAAGTGAAAGTACTAAGTAGTGTTCAGACCAGTCCAGAAGCATTCTCAGGAGTCCTTAGGTTTTCAAAGTTGAGAAATATTGCTCTTAACTTTTGTAAGTAGGCTTTTAGCTAGAAATGAAACTCAAAACCCTGTGAAAAGTCTAACTTCTATAACATAACTAACTTTAATTACTTTATTATTAACCCCCCTTTAAAAAAAAACCCAGGACCTCTTTATAAAAAAGTATCAAATTTATTTCAGTATCTAGTTTCACTTTTAAATTAAAGCTGGTGGACAATTTTTTATAATTTAAAATTCATTATCAGAGGTGAGGAAAATATTAATAAGCTATTATATACTGACAGCAAATAAATTATTAGACGTGCATTTATAAAAGCCATGTTTAATAGTAGAAAGTTCCAGTTATACTACTTAGCTGAAGGAAATATCCTTTAGCTCTTTATTTCTAATTTTAACACATTCTCATTTTGACATAATTTGCCTTTTTCACCCAATTACTAGTATGATGAACGAAATTTTTCCAAATGTTAAAGTTTTACCACTTATGCAATAGGACTTAACTATTACTTTTTTAGAATCCTTACGAGAAGTCTGAAATTTTAATTGTCACCATGAACGTGCTTGATCGTAGAATATCATTATTAGATAAATTAAAATGAAGACTGGAATAAAAACACAAAAGTGGCATCTATATAATGAACAAATTATGTGGTAAGACATTTTAACTACTTTACATTTCTACATAGCACAATAAAGAATAAACTTGTTCCAAGGAAACACAAAGTTTGGCATTTTTACTGCAAGCTTTAAATCATAGTATTATTCTACTCAACAAGACATCTCTAAGAAAATGGCAGGTTTACAAGTACAAAAACTGTTCTATCTGGTAGGTGGTATTCTACATAGCCAATAGGAGAATTCTTTATAAAACGAGATTTTTAAAAGCAGAATGTCTGATAATTATCTCAAAGGCTAATGAGAAAATGCAAAACATGGTCATTGGTTAGTATGTGGCTTTGAGAAAGCCAGAAATTATTCTATTCCAAGAAAGAAGCAATAATAATAAAAGATGTAAATAATATACTATATGCCTTTTTAAGCCAAAGCACACTTTCACCTCAGGACAGTTTTGATTTTTACATTCTCAAGTCCCTTTGTCCTGAACAGGACCCCATTCTAAGCCATTATTTGAATAGAGTTCATAATGTATAGTCATTTTTCTCCACAGGCTATTTTCATTTCAGAACATAAGCTGCAAAGTGGCAAATGACTAAGTCAATTATAAAGAATTTACAGCATAATAAATGCCAGTTTACAGTAACTGTCAACAGACTTCTACACCAAAATCTAAAAGTTGCTGCAGTAGAGGTCATAACTAACATGATTCTTACAGGTGCTCCAACTTTGTTTACAACAAATTACTGCCATAAAAACCAGAAAAGAAACCTTAGTGGGTCCTTTCAACACTGCATTAATTTTCCAAATTATATTCTTCTGGTTCTATAGCCTGTTTGTTCATTCCTTCAATCCTTTTTTAGTCGTTTAGCTTTTGCAATATTTTCTTGACGTTTTTGTTTCTTCTTTTGCTCCTTTTCCCTGGCCTCAATCATCTTGGCCAATTTCCAGGACAGTACTGCACTTGCTAGAAACAATGGAGTAAGGGCCAGGATAACTGTTGTAAGGAAGCCATATGGGTCCTTTGCAGCCCATTCCACAACATACTCAGCCCAAGCCTTTATATCAAACATCTTTGTAGCTGTCTTTGGAAAAGAAAAGAGAGGGGCAAGAAGAGAAAAGACTTCGTGATTAATCAAATTTTGAAAGAGTTACATCATACAATTATTTAACTCAGAATTCTGTTATTACTGATTAGCTTTTTGTTTTTAAAAACCATCAATTAGTACTATTTTAATATGGACTGTTACCTCCAGTTAAGAAGAAACAAACTAGGGTAACATTTAAAAGATTTAAGATAAAAGTAAAAACTATCTGGAATCTGTCATAGGGACTATGCATTCTTTGTACTCAAGACAAATTTTATTTAGCACAGACTTTTGAAAGAATCTTAAGCACTCATTCCAGGAAACAGCAGAATCCTGTTATTTTTTTTGACACAGCCTTAGTATTAAGTACTAATTAACAAAAGTATGATTCATCAAATTTGGTGTATGAAAAGGACAAGCCACAGAGTACATGAAATGCTTGGGGAAAGGAAGGTAACGGAGGGCTGTTTCCAAGAATGAAAAGGACGGGGTATGGGAAGCGTGGAAATATCCACATTCATATGCAAAGAGATACAAGCAAAAAATGACATGCTATTTTATGCCCTCTTTTGGCTCTGGAGACTCCTCCTTGAGGACATAATTTAATAAATGACAAAATTACCCATAACAGGTGCTATGCATTTTGTTCCACTGAGTTGGTGTGGGAGGGCAATCTGGTAAATAAGAACGGAATGGATCTGAGTGACATTTTCTATTTTGCCTCAGAGGCTTTTCAACCTTTCGTTTTGTGTTGACTTCTACTCAAAGGTGAAAATAAGAATACTTGGGTAGGGGGGCGCCTGGGTGGCTCAGTGGGTTAAAGCCTCTGCTTTCGGCTCAGGTCATGATCCTGGTCCTGGGATCGAGCCCCGCATCGAGCCCCGCATCGAGCCCCGCATCGGGCTCTCTGCTCAGCAGGGAGCCTGCTTCCTCCTCTCTCTCTGCCTGCCTCTCTACCTACTTGTGATTTCTGTCTGTCAAATAAATAAATAAAATATTAAAAAAAAAAAGAATACTTGGGTAGGAATGGGTGTACATACAACCACAATTTCAGCTGGGATTTAAAGTCATCTACCTTATGCTTGAGTACTTCTTTCCAACTTTGTCCTGGGATTATTAATGGGCCAATTACAATTTCAGATGACCCTTGCTTGTTTGTCGTCTTCTTTTTTAGCTCTACCATACACTCGTGAGAGAAGGTTTAAATTTTACATACTGGGTGGGTTGAAAAGAACAGATAAAAGAAAAAAAGTTTTAAGTCACAACTTTCAGGATAACTTTAAAATACTTTCAAATGGACAATTTCAAAAACTGTCTACTTGCAACCTATAAATGACATGTAAAACTGCCTGGCACATTATGGACATTTAATACCTATTTCTTCCTAATTTGAAGAAAATCATTACTACAATTGCAAAGGCACTCTAAGAAAATCCTATTGGAGTAATTACAAATATTTTACTAAGTTACTTCAAAAATAAAATTATGAAGCTCACGGACATATAAAAAGACAAATTAATTCACTGATAAGTTACAGCAAGTTACAGCACATCCATTCCTAGGTTTTTAACTTTTTATACTAAAAAAGTCGTTAACTTGTAAGGTTAGGTACATAATTAAAAATTCTACATCTCACTTTATTCTTTAAAGGATTTTTGGTCTCCCTATTATACAATTCGTGTTCTTTACAGAAAACCAAAACAAAATATAGATCAGCCACAATCCCGTTACCTCGATGAAATTACCACTGGCTTTAATATCCTTCCACCGGTCTCTTCCTATTTTCAACAGAAAACACTAAAGTGCCGCTAGTATATTGTTAAATAGTCCAGCCTCCGCCCCCTGCCCTTGAATTCTTAGGCCCACACAGAGATCCCATCTGTTCCTTCAAGCTTCTCCAGCACGGTAATGAATTAACTAAGGCAATATGCAAAAAATAGTAACGGGGAAGTGAAGGACCTGGTTTGTGGCTAAGTTTTAGCCGTTAACACAAAAAAGTTATCGTCCACAGGCCACAAAGCTCCCGTGCACTTCAATTTCGGACCCAAACGCACGTGTCTCCACACTTAGAGGAATCAGTATCACTCTTCTTTCCGTAAAGGGTCGACCGGGCTTGATCTCCAAACCAGACCTGCCCGGCGCCTGAAGCTGCCCCGGATGGTACTTCACCGCGATCCGCACGTCCCGGCCATCCCTGCTTCGCCCTTGTTCATTCCTGCTTTACTATCCCATCCGGCCGCCTGTCCGGGGGCCACGTTGAAGCACCCCTCGGCCTCAGCGGGCAATAGCCCGAGGTGGGGGGCTCGGAAAGCGGGTGGTTTCCAGGAATCCGGACTTGGTCCCGCCACAGCCCAGTCGGCCGGCGCCGTGGCCACCTCCTCCGGGAACGCGAGCAGAAGGGTCACCAGCAGCCCACCCTACACCACAGCCGGGCTCCTGGGTTCAGACCCCTACTCCCAACTCACCTCCAGGCCGGAAGCAGGAAGGCGGAAGCCGCGGCTTTCCCGTCCCGCCCACAGGCCGGCCTCAGCCCCGAGTGGGCCTGAGGAAGTCGAAGGGCCAGTTTCCGGCTGCGCCATTGCTATGTGGGTCCCGGGACCTGGGCTTCGGGACTCGCGGGGGTGGGGAGGACTGGGGAGGACGGCGCCCGGCTTCCTGGGGAGCGGCAGGTGAGGCCGCGCCGGGCGTGTGGCAGCGCCCCGGCTGGCCCCTGGCGGGGAGCCCGAGACAGTCGCCTGCTGCCGGGACGAAGGGGCGTGGGTGGACTCAGTCTCCAGGAGGCGGTCCGGTACCCTGCCGGCCCTCTGCCCCAGATGTCAGCCGGGAGACAGCTCCCTGCCGTGCTGGAACCAGACCGTTGATGGCGGGCCCCGGTGGGTGATGTATGTAGCCCCTGAAAATAGGCTGAAGAGCGGCGGCAAGAAAGGAGTTGGTCTCCGCAAACCGCCCGAAGTCAAGGTGAGGGTCCCACAGAGACTGTTGAAGGATTCTGGCGAGTTCCTCCTCCCGGTTCACACTCCACCCTTTGCCCCTCTCATCTTCTGGTTGGACAATAGTTAAAGCCTCACGTCCTGCCGACAACGAAGCAGCTGGACCATGGTGGCTCCACCGAACCCTATTACCAAGGAAAAATGCAACCGTTCTGGGTGAAGAGGGGGTTTTTGCTGTTTGTTTTTAGTTTGAGAACCTAACTCATTTCACACACACACACACCCACACACGAAATGAACCGTATTTGCCCAAAGTACTCGGTAAATAAACTGAGCATAGAATTCCCAGAGATACTTGTTCTTTCAATACACAAAGGGATGCAAAAGTCAACAAGCAGAAAGAATGAGCTTAATATTGTCTTCTAATCTACAGGAACTGAGAGATTAACTCTGGTTTGGTTGGTGACCAAATTTTATGATTGCTTGCACCAAACTGCTCTGTTTGACTACCGCTGAGAATGTTGCAAGACCTCTTCACTTTTGTGTGCCAAATACAGCAGGTTTTTATTCTTGAGAGACTATAGAATGTTCTCTTTGAGGACCAAGCTGTGACATGCATAACTAGTTTAGATATAACAACAGTAACTATTATTTACCAAGGAACAGGCTTTTGGCAAATAATCTAGTGATCAAAAATACTGTTCGTTGGGCATATGTTAATGTTTGTATGTTGTATTAGCAGCAGTTGTTTTCTTACTCATTCTTGTTTGAAAACTTGGATGATGGTTTCAAAGCTTGTGCTGCTTGGACCTAACCTGTACTTGTAGTAGCCAGAAAAAGCAGGCTTGGTCACTGGATTGTGTATACCGAAAACTTCACTTGCTAGAGGGAACTATGTGAGCTCTAAAAAAGTGGTTCAAATAGTAACTGCAGGAGCGGGGTCAGGATGTATTTTAACATCCTTCACTCCAGAGGCCAAGGTATGTGTGTGTTTTGATTTAATTACGGATACACAACATACCCAATTGCTGCCTTCCCAGTAGTTCGCTCTGCTGCTTCCCTTGTTAAATGCACTGGAGACTTGAGCTGCAAAAAAAGGTGCATAAGAAAGAGGCCTCTGTAGCTCTTTGGCTGTAGTCTCGACCCTGCCTTCACAGCCTAATACTACTGACCTAGTTTTCAGTTCCAGGACAAAATGCAAGCCCAGGAGTAATAGGGGTTGCCACAGCTGAGCCCCTTCCTGCAACCTGCATTGCTTTCATGAAAGATGGTATCAAGATTGGTTCAGATACTGTGCACTATTTTCTGTAGTGAGGAGTCTTGTGAGTTGTGAAACTGCTGATCTGTATACACTGTAAGTCACTCTGAGCTTGTTTCCTCTTCTTTATGTGGAACGTACACTAGGTCATCTCTAGTGTTCTTTCAGCTTTAAAGTTATGTCAGTTGGACTGGGCTTGGCCATTTTTCTAACTTATGCTTCGTAAGTGGCAGCGGAACAAGGAATTTAGTGGAAACATAGCCAATTTTCTTAAGGTCTTATTCTTTATTTGAAAAGATCCTCAGTTGGATTTTATTCTTTCACAAATGCCTTTAAGAATGCCAATTTAGAATAACAAGAAAATAAGCTGTGCTTGTGTTTATTTTTAAGAAATCTTACTCATGTAACTTGAGCCAAATTAACAAAGCTTTAAACTATTAAGGATTTGTCTTTGCATAATTCCTGTGTAGTGTATCGTGCCTCCTGCCCTATTCACACTCGTTATCTTGAAAAAAAGAACATTACAAAATTTTAACCGTTTTTTTTTTCCTCTTGAGAAGGTAAGCCCTACTCTGTCATTTGTTTAAAAAGTCTTTTTTTTTTCTTTTTTTTTTTTTTTTTTTTGGTGGCAATGCTGGGGACCGAATAAAAAGTATTTGTCTGTTGGTGGTACAAAGTTGCATTTTCCCCTTGAGTTATGTCAAAATTGTGAGTGAAAAAAAAATCATGAATGAGTAAAACCTGAACAAGATTCTATTATAAAAACCTAAACTTGACTAAAGATCTTAAGAACTTTCCTACCTGCTCAACATTTGGTGCTTATTTCTCTGCAGTAACAGTTCACATATTTGACTTAATTTGATGAAATTGGTTTCTTCCCTAAATTTTATTGTTATTTTCTTCCTTTAATTGAAACATAATGAAAATACATTTCTTTTTTTTTAAGAGTTTATCTATTTGAAAGAGTGTGCACGCGGGTGCAGGCCAAGTGGGGGGAAGGGCAGAAGGAGAGGGATAAGCATCCTCCCCGCTGAGCAAGGAGCCAGATGTGAGGCTCTATCCCAGGACCCCAAGATCACAACCTGAACCAAAATCAGACAGTTAACTGAATGAGCCACCCAAGTGCCCTGAAAATACATTTCTTAAAGGGCACAGTTATTGATTTAATAAGTAATAATCAGGTCTTAGCAGTATTTGCAAGATCATATTGAAGAATAATAATTTCTTAAAAGCTCTTTATTGAGTATTCACTATATACCAGGTACTGGGCTAGATGCTTCAGATCTATTATTACTAATCCTGGGACTAAACAACCCCAAATGATAATGTTCTCATACCCATTTTACAGATAAGGAATCAGAGACTTGAAAAGGAGTAGAGCAGGATTTTTTTTTTTTTTAAAGATTTTATTTATTTGAGAGAGAGACAGTGAGAGAGAGCATGAGTGAGGAGAAAGTCAGAGGGAGAAGCAGACTCCCCATGGAGCTGGGAGCCCGATGCGGGACTTGATTCCGGGACTCCGGGATCATGACCTGAGCTGAAGGCAGTCGTCCAACCAACTGAGCCACCCAGGCGTCCCTAGAGCAGGATTTTAAACCCATCTGGCCAAAATCCCTGCTCTTCCTTAATATCCAAAGACTTGTCAAAAAAATGTTGATTTCATAAAATGGAAGTATATTTTTTAATTTTGTTAATTAACTGATTATCACAATCAAAAATTTTCCATACTTTAGAATTTCTTATTGCCCAGGTGGTGGCAGCATGTCTCAAAGAGCTAGTGTGGTGCAAAAGGTTCTCTCCAACTTTGCCAGTTGATTTGCTTCTTCATCACACATACGTGATCTCTGTCAACTAACTCCTCTGTTAGGCTTTCAATACTATTAGACCAAGCCATCATTAACTGTGTTTCCCATCCTCCCATCCGCCTCAGCTTCTGAATGGGTCCTACTCTGCGAGTTTGCTTTCAGTCTGTTTTACTTAGAAAGAACCACAAAACTACTGTTTTTTAGAATATTCATGTAGACCTATCCAGAAACACACAGATTTTTTTTCAAATATTATTATTTTTCAGATTATTTTTCACAGTATATAATTTGGAAGAAACATATACTGAAACAATGACCTAATGTTATAGAATACTTACTTAAAATAGAAGGCATGCTTCTTAAACTTATGGAATACACCAATTAAGGAGGTAATGAAAAGCTTTTAAAAGAATTAGTCTTCAAATTAAGAACAAGAACATTCAGGAGGGAGCAGTGCAAGGTTAAACAATTCAGAAGGAATGCATATATAGCAGAATAACTAGTTAAACCTACTTCATCCAAAAATTGTTTGGAACATTATTCTCATCTTTATAGGGCAGATGTTACCTCCTCACAAAAACCCCTCTCTACCCCTTATCACTTAAATTTTTTTTCATAGCACTCCAATCTGACAAGTTGTTTACCAGTTTGTCTGTTTTTCCTCCTAGAAGGTAAGCAATATATGATCAGTTACCTCAGTATCTAAGAATATTGTTTTGAGTAAATGATTCCAAGATACAGCATTGCTCCCACAAATAAAACTGTTAGTTTTACTTTAATTTGTAGTTTGAACAAATCATGAAATAACCTAAATCTTGGGAAGTTGTGAAGTTTGTATTAAAGTACTAAACAGTTGTAGTATGTTTTCAGGGTAATAATGGATGCCCCAGTCTAAAGATGAGCAGGTAAGGTGTTTGGAGAAAGGTAAAGTAATTGTGATTATCTTGTTAATGAAAGAATACTAGTTGCCTAATAATTTCCAAGTGTGTAACAAGGAAAATAGACTATTAGTGCTAAGATTTATGATAAGAACAAACTGGAGTAGGTATCTTTATATAGGGATCTTTGAAAATAGGGCAAAAGTGTATGTGCAGACTAGATGCTCTCTCTAGATATTTTCCAGCTTCATTATTCTCAATGCAGATTGCAGGAGAAATACTTAGATTGAACAGCAGATACGACTCTTGTTGATTTTTCCTTGCTGCCCAGGGCTTCTTGTATACATTTAGAAACATTCAGTGTGTTTGGTTATATATTGCTGCTTTGGGTAATTTACATAATTTTTTCATAAAGTGCTGAAAATTAGGGATTTCTGTTTTTGTAACACCAAAACACTGTTTACAATTCTTTATCTTCAGAATG